CGCGTGGCGAAGTATTTTTTAAGTATTTCAATGTTCGAGCTCGCGTGGCGAAGTATGTTTGAAGTATTTTCAAGTATTTTGGTAAGAAAAAATAATGATTTCATACTTTTTCGCGACGTCGAAATTCACTCCATTTTCGACATACTCAAAAAATAATCAAAAAATGATACCCCGAAAACGTGGTCACTGAAAAATAGTCGCGACGAGTATGTGTCGGGCTGCCGTAGCCCGACGCATACTCGCGATGTGTATTTTCGGCCGCCCTGCGGCCGACGCATACTCGCGATGAGTATGTTTCGGCCGCCCTGCGGTCGACGCGTACTCGCGATGGGTATGTTTCGGCCACCCCTCGGCCGACGTATACTCGTTTCGACCATCGCTCTGGCAGCCTTCGAATGCGCCGTAGTTGCGATGCGGGTGTTCTGGGTGGCCGTCGGCCGCGGCGTGCGCCGCGCGTGCAGCGGCCCGCGCGCGCGGGCGCGCTCGTCGGGCGGTCGCCGCGCGCCCGAGGAATGCGCCGCGCGCCAGACGCCCGCGCGCAGCGAGCTGAAGCTGCAGGCCCCAGGCCGTCGAACCTCAAACCCAAGCCCCAAGCGCGCCAGCCGCCCGCGCCCTTCAAGTGCTCTCGCCCCGCGCGTGCCCGCGTAAAGATGGCGCGCATCGGGCTGGGCTCGACGGCGCCCGAACCCCCGCTGGCGCACAGGGCGCACCTCGCGCTCGTCGCACAGCGCGCCGATGCAGCTTTGAAATCGCGCAGAAGTGACCATTACTCCCCTATACCTCAACCGCCGCCAATATCCACGACTGAAGAGAAGCTGCGGTGCACGTCGCCATGCAGTTCCAAAACCATACTCGCCAACTGCCCCGCGCTTGCACGCGGCGCGGGGCACGTCCCGCCCGCGCGGAGCCCGCTGGAAGGATGCGCGCGTCGGGCCGTCGCGCCACGCACGTCATAAGCAAATGTGATGCTGCCGCCCCAGGCCATGCAGAGGCGAGCCCGCGAGCCATCGCGGACCAAACTAGGGGAATCATTCTGGTGGGCCGCACCCGCGTGCGAAACTCACCCCTAAACTCAGATGGTCGTTCCCCTTAGGCTGCGGGTCACAGCCCATCCGCGCGGCGCACGCACGTGGAGAGCTCGCTGCGGGCGAGCCTCGACCCCCCCCCCCCTCCCCCCGCGCCCAGTCACCCGCGCGCGCCACCACCATACAGAACCACAAAGGCCGCCCTAGACACATCTCGCACGAGGTACGATGAAATCCGCAGAGAAGCGCCGCCCGAGATCCCCCATCGGGCTTCGCCATGGGGAACCACTGAGTGAACCCCTCGCGACGCAATCCCAATTCTGACATGGTGGTGGACACGTCGCCATGAGAAGCCCACTTCGGAAAAAAAAAAAAAAAAAAAAAAAAAAAAAAAAAAAAAAAAAAAAAAAAAAAAAAAAAAAAAAAAAAAAAAAACGAACGTACATGAGAAGCGCGCGCACATCCCCCGCCAGCGCGGCTAACCCGAAGCCCTCGCGACCCTTCGCGAAGAACCGCCATCGTCCCCGAAGGGGGTCTAAGCTCGACATGCATGCGCCATTCGGTGGAAAAGCTCGGCTCGCCCTACTTGGAAATTCAGACATGCCATGCGCGACGCTGAAATTGCCCCGCCCAGCGCAATGAAAATGTGGAGGGCGCGTGCACGCGAGGAGTAATTACTGCCGCGCGCGCCCCGCCTACTCAGTAAGGGGTCGTTCGCGCCTGCCACGACCCCGTCCTTTTGTGCGTCGGCGACGCGGCGGCGCTAGTTTTCATCAAAGGCTTCTCTGCGATACTCCACCGACGGCGCCCGACATGTGACAACAAAGCCATATCTTGATGATGGCGAACCCGCGTGTCCTCGCGCTATGAAGTGGGCGTTGGTTGGATTCGAAGTGAGCGCCGCGTCAGAGCGTAGCAGTTCTAATTCGTTGACATCCTCGTCATGTTCGACTGGTATGGAGGTTGGCGCGTCGCGACCAGGAGGGGGCGCGGCGCGGCGCGCGCGATCGGGCGCGCGGCGCGCCCAGACGCAGCCCTTAGTAACTATAGAACTCCAGGGCGGAGGTCCAAAGCTCGCGCCCTCCAACCAGAAGCCCGACGCAGACGCGGCTTTAGAAATGCCGCGCAAACACAACGCACGAAGCCACCCACATCGATGTAAACAAATGCCGCACAAATGCGAACAACGCCAGACAACGCCGAGCACCGCAGCGCAAAGCCAGACAACGCCGAGCAATGCGCAACAACGCCATGCACTGCAAGCCAATGCGGCACAACGCCGCGCAATTCCGAACAACGCAAGACAACGCGGTGCAACGCCAGTCAACGCAAAGCAGCGCCAAGTGAAACCCAATAGCTCCACGCATTGCAGTGATCTGCCTAGCATGGCCGATCAACGCCAGGCAACGCCAAGCATTGTGCACAGTGCAAGCCTATGCGAGGCAATGCAAAGCAATGCAAAGCCAAGCAACGCCAAACAACGCAATGCAATGCAGGAGGTTCTGGTGGTGTGGGGTCGGAATGCCGAAGGTCCGCGAAGCGCGGGGTGTGGCCTCGAGAGAGAGGGCCGCGTCGGCGAGGCGCGGGGTCCGACTTGCCGCCTGGCCGCGCCGCTTGGCGGCGCGGCCAGGCGGGCAACGCAGCCAGGTCGGATCTCGCCCCTCTGCCGCTGCCTTCTCACAGATTCCCCGAAAGGCGCGCGGAGCGCAAATTGTGCAACGAATGCAAGAGTCAGGGCATGGTGACCCGAAATGCTCAACCCCCTTCCGCATACCCGACCACGGCTAACCCAGAAACACATTTGAAAGGCCTGACTCCCAAGACACCCAAGAGGGCCATGACTGCATGGTTCGGGACCTCACGGCAGTCCATGCGCAACCCGCTGGCGCGCCGCGTGTGGCAACCAACTACCCTGAAGGCATCGCCCCTGGGGCCCGCTGGAGGGCGGTTCCTCTGAGGCCCAGTGAAGGGCGCGCGCATTAGGAACGGCACAGTGGCGGGCATGCCCAGGCTTCTGGCCGCACCCCAAAAGTCCTCAATATATCCACGGGTGCGTGTAGAACCCCCAGGTGAGCAGCCAATACTGCGTGAATTGTCCATGCCAGGCCCTGGGCTCCAGTCGTCTAGCAAACTCCTGGCAGACACCCCATTCGGCTTCGATCGCAATCGCGCGCAACTCACTAGTCACTTAGTCACGGGTGCGTTTACTGTTGGGGCGTCGATAAACGCAACGTTCAATCGACTGCCGATTGGGGGTGTCATGGGTTCCTGATCCCTACTGTCAAGGCGTCTGCGGACAATAACGTCAACGCGGGAATCCCGCACGGAGCGGCAGGTGTTCCCAAGAGCACGGAGGCCATCAGCGTAGCCGCCAACCTCGGGGAACCCTAATCAGAAGGCTGGGGTTGCTTCGAAGACAACGCGCACAAGTTCCAAACACATAAATACATCTAAACCCATGGGTTCCAAAGCAGGACCGAACATGTTTCGATCTGGCAGGGCAAATTCGCTTGACTTCCCTGGGCGACCGCTGAAATATGAAACACGGCCGCGTCGATATCATCACATGTATCTTGAGGGATGGACCGAGAAACCATCTGTTCATGCGTACCTCAGGCCATAACTACGACCCCTGTGACTCCTAGTCCTCATCCTCATGCTCAGCCGTATCATCCTTTGCTCTCTCCTAGCCCTAATCCTCGTATTTATCGCTACCCTCATCCTTTCATCATTCCTATCCTCATCCGTGCCACCATCCTCATCATCCTTTTTCCCATCAAGTTGTTCCCCTCCGCTCTCTCCCGCAAGCCCTCAGCAGTATCACCGTCGTCTCCCTGGTGATGCGTAGCGCACTTCTGGTGAACGACACAGCTCAACGAAACGCTGCGTTTTCTCTTCCAGCCAACGTGCACACATCCTTACACAAGCTGTTCAGTTCCTGAAAAGCAAGGCTTGCACTGCCTAATTGATGTCGGAAGGCTCGGACGCTTCGCCGTCCCTGCGATCTCGCTCCTTCTCCTCTAGCGCAGTGAAAAGGGCGCCGTACCGAGCCCTGAAACCCTGGCGCGCAATGTAACGCTGCTCTGCAGTCGGCCTATACGTCATGTGCGAGGCGTGATCTGGGTGGCCGCTATTCGAGAGCCACGCCGCACCGAGCCCCAGAGGCCGCCCTTGACCTCTGCGACCCCCCCTTGCTGCCTGCTTCGCCGTCCTAGTGAGAACGCACTTGCCGTGCCCAGGCGCATGGCATACAAATTCGAAGAAGGGTTTCTCTGCTGGGTAGTACCTAATCTGCGAACCGTCATCGCAAATCATATGGATCCGACCGTCGGGGGCCGTGCCGCCGCCGCCCCCCCCCTGGAGGTGGAGGTGGAGGCGGGGGAGGGGCATCGCTGTCCTCATCGTGTTGATCGTCATCACCTCCTTCGCCGTGTCCGCTGTCGTCTGAGCCCTCCTCATCAGGACGGGGCGCAAGCTTGACAATCATGGCGGCGCATCGCTGCATGGCCCCCGAGCGCCCCACCCCCAACGTCTCGCGAGGTCAGAGCTTCCCCCGTCATCGCCGCGGCCAGCCACGGAGACGACAAGAGGGCCGATCTAGCGATGCAGCGGGGGGGGGACCAGGCAGGGGCAATGCAGCAATGCGCTGCGTGGAGGGGGCATGGGATGGGTAAGACGTTGAAGCTGACATTCGCCGTAGTGTAGTGGGCCCCCCTGGCACGCCCCATAAACGATGCCCGTTTATATGCCCCCTCACCCCGCCCTCCAATAACGTGTACCCTGTGCGGTGTGTCGCTCAGTTGTCTTTGTGCGCGTCAGACTCCTAGGTCCTAGTGTTGTGTCGCTGGGTTCGCTCGTGCGGCCTACTCGTTGTGTGTTGTTACGGTCTGCCCGTAAATCGCGTCGCATCGTGGCCGTGCGTGCCCCGCCCGAAGTCTTTGCGCCCGAATAAAGTCTAGACAAGCTCCTCTTCACCCTCGCCCTGCTCATCCTCGCCAGCGCCCTCGGACGGCTCGGACTCATTGGGGTCGTCGTCGCCGTCGCCGTCCAGCAACGGCGGAGCAGGCCTACGTCGAGTGGGCTTCCACAGGAGTAACTCGTGCCCATCTGGCAACATCTTGGCCGACACGCACTGCGGGTCCAACTCGCCCACGCGCCGCTCCCGCTCCAGCAGCTGGAGAAACTGGCAATGATACGTCCTCTCGGTCCCCAGAAACTCCGCGACCTGGCGCTCGACCATGTACGTGCTCTCAGCCTTCGGGGAGGGGGGCGACGCAAAGGAAAACGCGTTTTTTTTCCCTTGGTGGGCGACCAAAACAAAAGAATTCCCCCGGCGAAAAGCCGCCGCGCGGCACCGGTTTAAACCAACCCGTGGCCCATCAATCACCCCTTCGCACGACGTCCACCCTGCCTCCCCGCTATATCGGATACGATATATACATATTTTTTTATATATATGTATAGATGTATATATATATATGTATATATATATATATATAGGTGTACTCATATATGAATGTAAAATTACATGTACGCACACAGACGAGGCATTCGTGGAGGGGGGATGGGACGGGGGGGGGGAATGCGCGCGCAGCATTGATTTGCTGGCTCGCCTAAAAGGTCGCATGGTGGTCGACGCAGAATAACGCGATTACATTAAATGCGCGGTGGCACGGTGCCCAAATTCTTTTAATTGCGGGCGAGATCTCACGACATCGGGGGAAATGCCGCCGCATGCCGCAGGAGCGTACTCTCGGAAATTGATGCGCCCCACTGAAAAATGCACAGCTTCCTCGCCACGGGCAATGGGCAATGCGCAATGGGCAATGGGCAATGGGCAATGGGCAATGGGCAATGGGCAATGGGCAATGGGCACTGGGCACTGGGCAATGGGCACTGGGCACTGGGCACTGGGCACTTGGCACTGGGCACTGGGCACTAGGCACTGGGCACTGGGCACTGGGCACTGGGCAATGTGCCATGGGCCATGGGCCATGGGCCATGGGCCATGGGCCATGGGCAATGGGCAACGGGCAACGTGCAACGGGCAACGGGCAATGGGCAACGGGCAATGGGCAATGGGCAATGGGCAATGGGCAATGGGCAATGGGCAATAGGCAATAGGCAATGGGCAATGGGCAATGGGCAATGGGCAATGGGCAATGGGCACTGAGCAATGGGCAATGGGCAATGGGCAATGGGCAATGGGCAATAGGCAATGGGCAATTGGCAATGGGCGATGGGCGATGGGCGATGGGCGATGTGCAATGGGCA